GGGACATATGCATGGAGGTTATCATCATCATCATCATCATCATCATCATCATCATCATCATCATCATCATCATCATCATCATCTTTTTCATCCCGATACCCTCACATTATCTTGACTTTCCTGGCTATTGGCCTTTGGTCAGTTATTCTACACAGGGTAGATGATTCAATAAAAATATAATGTTTAAAATAGTCAAATTGGCATAGACAGGTTCATGTTAATTAATTTAGACATTTTATGTTTTCTTCAAATACACACTGCAGCTTGGCGCAACGTATGTGTTTTATCAAGAGAGAGGAAGTTTTACACTTTCTTTTTTTTCATGTTGATTTGATCCTCAGCTGAAAAGACCGAAAAAGAAAGGGCATGGTGTGGGGTGGAGGTGGGGGGAGGGTGTTACAGCACCACTTAATCTGAGCAAGTGACGTCAGATAACAATTCGGGCTTTGGTGGACTATGTAAATGTAAAGAAAGAGCGTAGACTGAATATAATTAGCCTTTAATTACGCTCGTACTTGTAGTTACAAGTAGGTGTGTCCATTGTGCCAAAGGCGACGGAGAAGGCGCATAAACCGAGCCTCATCAGTCGTAGGTCTGTGCCCATCGGACTGCATTGATGTCCATTAACCATTAATTAAGTTATTCCTTTTGTCTCTAAAGGCCATGAGTCCATCCATACTGCTCTTTCCATTCAGTGTGCTTCGTTTAGGTAAGTTGAACACGCCTGGATAAAGAGAGGAAATGTATTTCGTGACCAAAAAAACCTCTGTAGATCTACCCTGGTGATAGGGATTTTTTTTTTTTTTGGATTGATACACGTTAATCATTTAAAAGAAGATGAAAAGCAGATTGAAATTCACATGATTTAAGTTGTTGGCTCATGTCGGATTTTCATGTCTTCTTAGTACAGGGTAGTTGTTTGTGTTGACTTAATAATTATTTATGTTTATTTTTATTTTTTAAATCTCAATGCACAAAATATAGCCTATTATACGAGTATGATAACTTTTTAACCTTCAAAATCTGTGATAAATTTCTGTATGTTGCCTTATTGTCAGCTTTATTTTCATCTTCATATACAGTGTATTGAAATTATTTTGTAAAAGTAATACTTAACTATTAATTTAAATTCTACATATATCTACATGTTCTTTTACCATTCATATACAGCCGCAGAATATTTCTCTCAGGAACAATGAAGCATTAAATATAATTTATCACATAAGTAACCAACTCTCATTTTATAGAGAGGTATATAATGTAATGAATCAGACAACTGTCCCTAATACATGCAGCCTACATAATATATACTTCTGCGAGCAAATTGTTGTACAGAAAAGTGGGAAGACATGGAATAACATCAAGAGGCTAGCCCAGGATAGAGAAAAGTGGGGGGTGTTTGTCCGTGGCCTATACCCTGGTGCAGGGTGAGAAAGGCAATGATGATGATGATGAGCAAATTGTTAAATGTACAACGTCGTGCAGAAAGGATGAACACAGCAAAGCCTATAGATCTAGCTGTGTTTTATGTTGTGTTCAAATATGAGTCCGCGCTCGCGCGCGCGCGCGCGTGTGTGTGTGTGCGTGCGTGTGTGCGTGC